CTTTCCTGCATGAAGAGTATTGATTAGCCATGACCTGGAGTCCCTTTTGAAAAATTCTGTACATAAAACTGTGATCTCAAAAAATTTACCTTGCAGGCTGCCTGAGTTCAGCTTCCAGGTTTGAAATACATGACTGAACAGCTTCTCATAGTCATCTTGCTTGGTAGTTCTAATCTCTGCTACTGTGTTTTACACTCTTATTTTCTGTCCTAGTAGAAATCTTTCCTAGTAGAAATCTTGGTGGAACTTTTGGCTTAGGAAGACATATAAGAATGGAAATGAAAATATGTCCCCAATACACTAAATTCTGGTGCTAAGGTGTATACGGTTTCAGGATGCACCTCTTTCATTCTTTATAATTTATGGCTTGAGATTTCAAACATCAAATACTTGAAGGCTTGAATATACTCCCACTGAAGAAACTGTATATTCTGCTTCTCCACTGCAAGTTCTTCTAGGGTGAGCATAAGTTATTGCCACGCGTTATTGTGTATTTGCAGCTTTTAACTCACACAACAGTGATACTTTCTTTTACCTTCATTTAAAACTAGCTTAGCGTGTTAAAAATTTAGCAGTTTTTAATAGGGCTAGGTGGCTTATGTGAAAGAAATTATTTGCTGAAAACTATGCCTTTAATTCTTTACAAAGCAGACCTGGATTTGTCTGTTGTGGACTACGACCCTACAACAAACTTGTTCTCAGGATTCAGGAAATTAAAATGAATTTCATCTCCTGGGAATCAATGTCTGTATTCACTTTGACCTCCAGAGATAGACTTAACTGGCACGCTGTGGAATTCTAGATGCACCATCTCCTAAATCTTTCCTGCCAGTAGTCCTACTTTGCTATACAATTATTACATGATCTCATAGCAATCATTTCTATACTTAGGATGGTTTTAGCTATTATGCTTTTTGCACTGAGTGGAAGAACATCAGGGCTGAATGTCTTCAGACAAAAAGGCACCTGAATCAAAATCTTCTATATGCTTGGTAAATTTCCTAACGCTGGATGATGAGCTAAAAAAGTAAGTCGAATTTCTGACAAGATCAATGCCTTTTGGTCTTCTGAGTAATTCTAATCTTTGGGTGGATTCAGCTCTTGAATACAACCCCAATTTTTAAAATTTGGTTGAACTGAATGCCTCCTTGGTTAGCTGCAAAAATCAAAAGGTGGAAATGCTTGAGAAGTGTTTTTTTGGTGATCTATGCCATCCTTATAACCTGGTGTAAGATGATAGATAAAGGCACAAAAAAAAAGAAAAAACTCCCTCCTGATGGCTTCCTGGAAACCTGTAGCACCTAGGGAGACTTTCACAGAAACTGATAAAAGGATTAAAAGGAAGAAGTGATATGGAGATAAACATGGGCTTTTTTCTCAAACATCCTGGAATTTGGAAAGTGGACCCTTGGGCCTATTTCATCTGTCTATCACTCCAAAATTAGTTTATTGACTATAGCCACTCAAACTGCCTAAAGAAAAATGGTATAAAAAGAGACTGGACCCAAGCAAAAATCCAGGACAAATTCCATCAACTCTGTGGAGGTAACTGATGGGTTGCCTTTTCTTCCTCCACCTTCTCGGGACGCCTTGGGGTGAGCAATTGCTTTATACAAATATACTAATTTTACTTTTGCTCTATAGTATTTTAAAATTTTTACTTATCACTTCATTGTAAGTTGCTTTTGCTTCAGCGTGTGTGCCTATGCTTTGTATTATTATTATTACTACAGCGTTTGTGTGTTTTTTTGGAGTTAGACCCTATTCCAGACACATTGAACCCCATAAATTGTCACAGATTAGCATTATTAAACACGTTATTTCATGAACTGTTAGAATAAGTCCATTTTTAGGTGCTGAAAATTTCATCAACGGCAAAATAACTAATAGGAGAAACCCTCTGAGGGGTTTTTCTACCGCTATTAAGTGCAGTCCCTATATTCAAAAGGTATCAAATGCCCTGTCTGTCTCAGCGAATCTGTTAAGTGAAACGTCTCAATAGGTGAGAGGCTAACAGACTGTTTTGGATATTAAAAGGCTTTGATCTCTTGGAGAGGGGACACTGATAGACAAAAAATAATTTAATACAGGTTGGACAGGGAATTCTTCTTTTCTGCCCCTTTTAGCGTGACACCTGGTAGGGGTGAAAAGGAAACAATGAAGTACATCCTTTGTCACCAAGACAATAGAACAAAGTCTTGCACATGACACTCCACTAAGCAAGATTAGTTTACTTAGGAATTGCAATTTTCAGGGTGAGTGCAAAATTGTCTGGAAACTACAGAGAAAGTAAAGTATCAATGGCGCAATGTCAAATGTGGAAACATACATTTGGCAGAACTCTGCAAGGATCTGTCCTGCATCTGAACACACTAAAATTCTTGCTAACAGTCGGGATTGCAGAATTGAACAAATTTATTACATTTGTATATCACAGAGGAAAATAGGCTTAAATTCAAAGTGATTTTGATAAACTGGATAAATATTCCAGAAAAAAATTATATTCAATAAAGACAGTACAAACAGGAGAAATATTCAGCCATAGAAATAGAGACAATGAATTAGGTGTTCTTGAGGGAAACAAAACAAACTAGAGCTTAAATTTTATCACAAAATGGTCATTAGTTAACGAGCTACTGCTGTTACAACAAAGCTTCCATTCCACATGGAAGCATGGAAAAACAGAACACACTGTGACACATCCACAATTATCCTTCTTTTCTTATAAACACTTAAAAAGGTCCCAAGTAGCTTATTAGCTCCAGCTTTGGACATCACACTTCAAATACAATACAAATCAGCTGAAGACAGTCCTGATGAAAGCCGGAAGTGACATCAGATCTTGAGACATCCTGGAGTGCCAATGGAACAGTGTCTGGAAGTGGACTTTGACTATGTGAAGACTGAGGGAAATACTCTGCTTGCTGTCCCTTTGGTGGCTATTGTAATACTCTGAAATTACAGTAAGGAAGGTTCAGGTTAAACATTAAGGAACAGTTTGCAACGGCAAGTCAGAACAGATTGCCTGAGGAGGCTGGAGTGGTGCTATCGCTGGAGGACTTCAGAATTGGTTAGACAACCACTTGTCAAAAATGACACAGATGTAGCTGATTGTGCCTTGGGGCAGAGCCATGGAAGAGCTGACCTCGCAAGGTCCCTTCCAGTCCTACTTTTATGCAAAGAGCATTATGCTATTTCCTCCCATCCCACCTTCATCGTTCAGTTTTCCTGTTCCTCCCACAAGCTTTCTTTTATCTCCAGCTACTCTCCTAAAAATAACCTTTAACTGCCTCTTGTTTTATGCATATGTAGGAAATCCTTTCTGCACAAGACCGTTCTGTGGATGGACAAGACTGATCTCACCCGTGGAAAAGGAGAGGACTACTTATCATTTGTAGAGATGCACTATGGTTACAAAAAGAGTATTCTTGCTGCAGGATTAAGACCTAGACATTCAGAAATATTTTAGCCACCGATAGAAACATGGACTGCCACTGAAGTGGTAGCTTTCTACATGCAAGACAGAAAAAAAAAAAGTTAGATATACCTTTATTTTTCAATATTCATTCTGAACACGTTAATGTTACAAGTCTCGTACACGCTTTCCCACTGTTTGATGTGACAAAACTTAAAGGGCACTAGGTCCTAGTAAGCTTAACCTCAGCGTCCTCCTATTTTGCTTAGAGGAGTTAGTTTGAAAAGAAAAGGTAATTGCACTGCGTGGTCAGAACGACCAGCTGAACTCTGACCAGAAGCCCAAACGGGTTCGATTGCAACAAGCTGGGTACAAGTCGACATTGATTTGAACATCTCCTTCCCTCGGTGCTGCTACCGAAGTGGGGGGTGACTGCGTTTCGGAGAAGGCTGGAGCTGCTGGGGTTGCGGTCGGGCAGCCTCGGGAAAGGCGGCGCCGCGGGGGGAGCGCGGGGATAGCCCGGCAGGTGAGCGCCCCGACACTGCCCGGCGGAGCGGTCCGGGCCCCCGGGCAGGGAGCAGCCCGCGGGCTCTCCGCGCGGTTCCCCCCGCGTTTCACGTAGCGCCGAGGAGGACGGACCGGAACGGGAATTCCAAACCCCATCCCCGGTGCGCGGCGGCAGAACCGGCAGCAACAGCAGCAGCACCGCCCGGCTCCGGCCCGCGGAACCCGCGCCAGGCTCCCGCTCAGCGCCTCGTCCGCCGGGGGAAAAGCCGCGGAGCTGGCGGATGGTGCACATGGGGCGGCCGGGATGAGGAGGCGCGGTGGGGCGGGCCCGATGTCGCCTGCCCCCGGCCCGGTCGGCGCACGTGGTGGCGGGGGGGCGCGGGGCCGCCTCTCCTTGCCCGCCTCCCCGGCGCGGACGGGCGCGCTGCGCCGCTGCTCCGGCATCAGCTCTCTTTTCCTGATGGTTTTTTTTTTAAAACTCTTGCTTAGCAAATTGCGCGTGATGAGCTCATGATGCCGCGCCCCCCGGCCCGGGCCCGGGCAGGCAGGGGGACGTGAGGCGGGCGGGCGCGGCCAGCCGCGGGGGCTGCGCGCAGCGCCAGCGCTCCGGCGGAGCCGGGCGGAGGGGGCGCTCTTGGTCCCACGCCGCTTAGGGGGCTCGGGCTTTTCCCTCTTTTTTTTTTTTTTTTTTTTTAAATATATATTTCTGTTGCCCCTCTAGCTCCGTGTGCCGGGCTGTTTGCCGCTCTGTACGCAGGTGGATCCATGAGCTGCCCCAGGCGCGGCACCGCCGCCGCGCAGCACCGCGCCGGGGCGGGGGGAGCGGCCGCCAGTCTCGGCCCCGCCGCCGCCGCCGTCGCCGCCGCCGCGGGGGGTGGCCCCGCCCGGGCACGGGGTGGGCAGGCGTGAGGAGGGCGAAGTTTCTCCGCGGCTCCGGGCCCCTCGCAGGGACAGCGGGGAGGGAAGGACTTGGCTCCGTGGTGCTGGGGGAGCTGACACTGCCGCCGCCAGCAGAGCAGCCCGGCTTTGGCCATGAAGAGGAAACAGAAGAGGTTTCTGCAAATGACGCTGCTCTTCACCGCGGCTCTGATTTTCCTGCCTGACATCGGCCTCTGGTCTCTCTACAAGGAGAAGCACCTGGTGAAGCCGCCCGAGCCCGCCGAGCCGCAGGTAGGTCCGAAGCCGCCCGGGAGCCCAGCCCACCCCGCCGCGCTGCCGCCTCCCGGGGCACGGCCCGGCCCCGGCGCAGGGTGCGCGGAGCGGGGAGCGGCAGCACGTGCGCTCGTCCTGCCGCCGCGCCGGGGACAGAAAGTTGTGAGCGAACATCTGAGCCCGCCGGGCTGGGCTTCGCCTGGGTGAGCAGTCACACAGGCTACCTGTGAAATTAGGAGGAAGTGGGATTTTGTGTGCTTCGTTGGTGAGCCGAGGGTGATGCTGGGCTCTGATTTTCATTACGAGAAGTGGAGGTTTTGCCGCAACTTTTGTTTGCCTGTCTGCAATACTTCTCGAACTGATGTGTGGCTGTAGGTCCGCTGAAATTGCTCGAGATCCATCTAGGTGTCTTACCGCCGAGATTTTTTTTTTCTTCTGTTGAAAACTCACTATTGTGACCTGATACAGCTACGCTGTGTGTAACTGCTTGTCAGACTGATGTCACAACAACCTCCCGAATATTTTCAGTTTACTGTTTCCTCAAACACTATTATTAATAACAGCAGTTGACATAAGCTGTTTTTTTTTCTTGAGTTATTCTTTGACTTGCTGGGTTTGTGTATGGCTCATAAATCACAGTATGACCTGCATTAAGTGAAGTTTAGTTTTAAGGAGTTGTTGTAATGCAGTTTTTTATAACCTTACCCGTAATTTACCAAAGCTTATGTTAGCTCAGTTCAACAGTGCTATGCTCCTACACTATAATTGTCAGTGTATTTTTAATTTAACGTGATATTTCATAGATCATTAGTAAGAAGTTAAGGAATTGTCTGGTCTCTTAACTTGTTTGCATAGCCTTTATGTTAGAATGTATTAGGTGGCATAATTTATAATTTTATTGTATTAGTAGTCTTCATTTCAAGGGTCATCACCCATGTATGTGATGCACTTCCTAAATACTAAACTTATTTAAATCAATGACTTCAGCTGAAGAGTAATATATTTGATTCTTTGTTAGTATAGCTATCTATTACAGAAGTTAGTCCTCCAAAATATCATAACTTTGGTTAATGAAATATCCTGAATATTACTAGAGGAGGAAGTTAAGAATACCTTCTTAATTTGAAGCTTACTTTATCTGTCCATGGGTTTTAAAATGCAGTAGGTGTCAGTTGCTAGAATTTAGTTGGAAGTAATTTCTGCTGAAAGAAAATTATACACAATCATAAGTGTGTGTCATTAGTTTACAAGGTGCACACTGCAGTCTTTTCAGTTTCCAGTGCAAATAATGATTTCCATCTGTTGCATGGCTCTTAAGAACACACATGCCTTGACATAAGATGATATTTCTAATGTTCAAGACTGCACTCTTAAGTAGAGCATGATTGGTTAGCAGTCAAAGGGAGATAACTTTTTTTTTTTAATAAAAAAAAAAGAAAAAAGGGTTCTGGATAAACTAGTGGAAGAAAACCTTGTAAATAAGCAGCTGAGCATACGTGAAGGGCTAGTGAGACTTGCTAATGAGACCCCAGAAAATTTTAAATCCTACATTTTCTGAAGAGGTTTTTTTACTAGCTTCCTTTTTTCTCTTTTTTTCTTTTTCCCCTTCCCTTTTCTCCCAACCTGAATACTAATTGAGGAGTAATGGGACTGTTTAATGGGAAAACAGTAAAAATGAGCAGTGCAACTTTGAACCTTACAACTGACTCTGGTGTTATTCTGTTATCATGGTAAGTATTGAAATCATGTTGGCAATGTCATTTACCCAGTGGGGAAAACAGGTTGAAGTACAGGTGAGTAATGCAGTTAGGTTACTTGTGTCTTTAGCTGTGCACATTATAACCCAAAATACTTAGAAGGAACAAGAGTTGAAATACAAGTTTGAGTTCAACTCCCTTAAATACAAAGGAAACAGTTCGACTTCCTTGAGACTTTACTAAAAATGAGGTCACGTGAGAAGATACTGCATTAGAAATAGTATCGTAGTAGAACTGTTAACTTTCTTTTTCCCTGGTAATTTAGTAAGGCATACAAGAATTTAGACACTCAACGCAGTCATTCTTTGCCCTTGAGGTGTTCAATTACTTTATAGTTAGTGTGACTTAACACAAGTTTAGATGTCCGTCCTACTGAAACTGCAGCAGACTTTTCTTATGTATTCTAAGATTGTGTTAGGTTACATAGGTATGTTTTAGAATCAGCATGTGATAGTGATGTATAGTCGGACTGCTGTGGTGTGTCCTGACCAGGGAAGAGAGGTAGAGCTGTCTGTGACTTCAATAATTTGATTACAGGCTGAAGTGGTTTTGCTCTCATGGGTAAAATGTGTGTCTAGTGGTATTCTGATATTGACAGTAACGTTTATAAATGTGCCATCTTGTTTTAAGAACAATTAAATTCATGTTATTGATCATCAGGTGTTTTTGAAGAGATGGCATAGGGAAATGATGTTTTGCCTAGTTATAAATTAAATTTCCCAATTCATTGCTAAAACAGACATCCCCAGACTTCCCTGTGAATGAGGGCTCTGTCAGCCTCTCCTGTCACTTCAGCTGCTTGCTACAGCACCAGAGCAAAGGAGAAATAGCAAGCTGATGGAGGAGGCATTGATACCCTGACAGCAGTAAGCATAGGAGCTGTTTGAAAGCAGTCCACAATGCAAAAATAGGCTGTTTCTATCAATGGTAGAACAGTGTCTCCTGGGGACTGTGTCATTCCCAGTGCCTAGAAGAGGTACTTGTGTTCTTTAGTGCTATCTAGAAACTCTAATATGACAAAATAAGTTGACTTTTTTATTCATTAAAATAGTGCTACAGTAAGTTACATAACAGTATTTTTTGTCACTGTGCAAATTGTTTCTGAGCAGAGAAGCTCTTCTGTAGGCAAAACTAAAAGACGAGAAAATAGTATTGGCAACTGTGATTTCAGACAACATTAATGATTTTGTTCACTTTACATGAATTCTGTTAACATTATTAGTCTCTATGAATCTCTGTTTCACAGAAACGTTCTATAAGCCTTTGCGATGTCATACGTTTTTCTCTTGAGAACTTAATAGGCTTGATCTTTATATTTTGATAATTGTTATTTACTTTTGGTTTCTCACACTATTTAAAGTGGAGCTTCAAGAGTAAAGGTACATATGTTAGGTTCTGAGTTACATGGTACAGCAAGATCTTCATAAAATATAGTTTGATAGTAAAGTGGCACACATGAGGAAAAAAAATGATAATTTCTGGTTTAAATCTTTCTAAGTCAGTCTTCTTTGCTATATTGTGGGAATAAGGGAAGTCGAATAGGATATTTTTATTGCCTTTTTAAAAAAGTCTTATTCCTTAACACATTATGGTGTCCTTGAGTTTTGATTAAAAAAGTCTTTACAGGTAGTTTAATTTGGGGGTATGTGTGTTTGTTTGTTTTTGTTTTGTGATTGAGATATTATATATATATATGTATGATGTAAAAGTCCTATCTGATATTTTGATAAAATTCCAAAGCCAGTTTTTTTTGGATACTGAGTTATGCTAATAAAACTTAATTTCAGTTTTGTTTTCTGTGGAAGAAAAGCAATAATGCAGCACAACAAGTAGGATGTAATCCCGGTTCAAATCTGGGTATTTCATACTATCTAAAGTTAGTGCTACTTTATTTGGCTACAGTAAGGTTTTATCCTTGTCTGTTTATACACTTTTAGTATATGAAACATAACTTCATATAAAAGAACCAAATTTCTTGTGGCAGCTTTCTAGTGTCTGTAATGTAGGTATTTGGTGAAAAGTGTTGAGAGATATGTTTCTTTTGGTTTATATGGGATGCCAGTGTGGGTGACTGAAAGGAAGGCAGTCTAGTGAAGTAACCCCTGATATAGTTCAACTTCATTTTGTACTTTTTTCATTGATTTGTCATCTTCCTGCTGCCCAGTGTCAAACCTCCTCACTTAAGGTTGGATTGAACAACAGCATCTCTTAGTCACAGATGTTCTGTAATACATACTCAGTGTATTAATGAAATGCTTTATGATGTGTAAAGTAAGGAAGAAAGGTAGATTTCTGGCTTCATTTCACTTATACTTTGGTGCAGTGAGGCATGCAGCTTTAACCTCCTGGTTGAGGCACTTCTGCTGGAGAAACTCTCAATGGTTTTGGCCCTTTTTATTTTGGTGCATGTGTGGTGTCCAGAACAAAGAGCAAAATACAGCTGTGCTGTGAGGGGAAAGCATTGCTCCATGGGATAGAGTTACACTCTCTTTCCTTTGTCCTGTGAAGTCCTTATTTCTATGTGGTTAGCCCCAGTTAGCCTCTTTCTCATGGGATACGTGAGGTATGGATTTAAATGAACTCCTTAGCAAAAGGAGAACTTAATCCTAGCAAATCATGTGGCCTTGTGTTATAGTTGGCAAATAGGCACAAAATTAACCTTCCACTGGCTGTGAAAGTACTGACTTTGTCTTCTGAATCCAGGAAGCGGTTTCGGCCTGAAATCTGTCTTGCAAACAGTCATTAATTTCTGAAGTCTGTGAAAGAGGTGAAAATTTAAATTTACCCCAAAGTGCAATGTTTCCTAATGTTTAGCACACAAGTTCTGTAATCATAAATTTTCCAGGACAGTTAATTCTGTTAACTTACTTACTATTGACTGGAGTGAAGTACAAAGCTTGGGTTGGTGAATTCTCTTTCTGGAGCTGCATAAAAGCTGTATCTTGAGAGAAAAGTTTTCTTCCCCCTTCCCTCCCCCCTCCCCCTTAGATGTATTTCTCTTGTTTTCCAGTTGATTTCAACAGCTGCAAAATGTTGTACAAATTATCTTTTCGTTTAGGACACAAATACACACCTGTTTTCTCTTATTACACTGTCAGGACGCTGTCAGTTACTTATGTAGTTAGTTCCACTGTCTCACCTTTGCTTTCACTACAAACTTATGAGGTGGGAGTTTGGTTTCTCTTTAGCAGAGGAGCAAATAAAGTATAGAATGACAAACAGTCTCAACTTTACAAAAGTAGCTGCTTGACTGTTGCTAACATTCATCTGTACTATTTTTGGAGAGTACCTGTCAGACCATAAAAAATACTGATAATATGAAGCCTCACTTTCTCTACTCAGTTTCTATGCATGTGCTGTTGTTCTAAGCAAGTCCTCATTTCTCTCCCCAGAGCAGCAGCTTGGACCTGGTGTTTTCAATGCTCTTTTATACTACAGCCCTGTTCATTGCTGTGCTGATGTGTCAGCTCCAAGAGCCCCTATACATGGCATGACAAAACAGTGTCTTAAAATGCAGTGCATTGGCAATGTCGGTTTGCCTTTTAGATGTTTAAGCCATACAGTTAACACTTCTGTAATTCACTTCTTTATCTAAATTATTCAAATATAATTTTATTCCCCTGTATATATTGGAGCCTATTGAGGAAAATGTAATTTGAGGTCTAAAATCTTTGTTACTTTTAAGATACAATATTATTTTTGGCAATAAACAGTATGCTTCTGTAGTATTCGGTATACCAGAGGGAGCCCTCCTGTGGTTAATTTAATACGTATCAATTTTCAGGAATGCTACTAAACAGAGTATATCTTACAGGATAAAACGGACTGGTTTCTATATTTAATTTTCTTTCCATTTAACTCCAAATTTGTAATGTATTTCAGCTAATGTGTGTAGTCATTTTGGATTAATCTAAAATAAAACACAGGGTCAAGAAACCTCTGTGCATGCCAGCAGTTGGACTTGTAGAAAGACTACTGCAATGAGGGGGACTGCGGTGGAGTGCAAGGTTGCTCACTAACTAGGGGGGCATACCCCTCACTAGGAAATGATGCTCAGTTCTTTCCTGAAATTCTGTATCTCCCTGTGCTGGGTATTTTTCTCTTGTGTTTGGCCCTGGAGAATTGCAGTGGCACTGTAGGTGCATCCTGGTCAGAAGCCAGACTGCACCGTGTGTACCATTCAGTGGAGATGCAACTGTGTGTGTAGGCAGATGTCTGTTCACATAAAGAAAGAACAATTCAGCTTTTCTTGTGTTTTTAATGCTTAGACGGGTAACTTATGGTCTTTGTCTAGCAATATGCTGATGTACACATTTATAGCAATTGACTTCAGCAAAACTGAGTGTATAGTAACTATTTTGACGGATTTGGGCCAAGAGTAGGCACATCTGTCTACTTTAAATAAAAAAATTAACGCAGAGATCAATGAGTCAAATAGGACGCAACTTGGGAATCCCAGGCTAAAAATCCTACATGTATTGTAAATGTTCCTCCTGGTGAAGAGACCAAATTACACTGACTGAAAGAAATAGCAGTTTTTAATGTTTCTTTAAAATGTGTAAAGGCTTTATGAGGGCATGGCAACTTTCTGAACCAACTTTTCTTTGAGAATTCCAGTATGTTGTGGTTTAACCCTGACAGGCAACTAAGCATCACAGCAGTGCTTGTTCACTGCCGTCTCGGTGGGGTGGGGGAGAGAATCCAAAGGGTAGAAATGAGAAAACTCATGAGCTGAGGTAAATCCAGTTTAATAGGCAGGTAAAGTCCCCCACGGAAGGAAAACAAGGAAATAATTCACTACTTCCCAAGGGCAAGCAGGCATTCCTAATGTCCCCCCTTCCTTCTTCCCTGAGTTTTATTCCTGAGTCTGATGTCAAATGGTTTGGCATGTCCTGTTGGTCAGATGGTTTCAGCTGTTCTAACTGTGTCTCCTCCCAACTATTTTTTTTTTTTTTTTCACTACCAACCTCCTAGCTGGCAGGGCAGTACAAAAGCAAAAAAGGCCTGACCCTGTATAAACACTGCTCAGCAACAACAAAAACATCCGTGTATTACCAACACTGTTTCTAGCATAAATTCAAAACACAGCCCCATACCAGCTACTGTGAAGAAAATTAATTCTATCCCATTCACAATCAGCACACAATGTAAACTGGTTTTTAAGGTCAAGCTCTATAGTGATTCATTGGTTTCAAGCTGATTTTGACAATTGTCACATTTGGAGGAGTTTCACTGCGTGATATGCTTGTCTGGGTAATTTTTTTTTTCAAAATTCGTCTTCAACAGAGAAATCTTTCCCTCTTCTTTATGAAAAAACACCATGGGAGACACTTGCTTCTGGAACTTTGCTCAAGAGGTAAAGAAGAGGAAGAAAATCTATTGTAGGAATTTAACTACTTCTGAATTTATCTTCCAAATTCTTTACCTTCATTTCCGTGATTTTCACATAATTTTTCTTCATCAAGAAGGTGACATGGCTCCAAGTCTATGCAAACACTTGGTGATTCAAGTCACGTATTTAGTCACTGAACTAAGAACAATATACTAAGAGAATTTCAGGAAAAAAAAAAGATGAGGTGTATGTCCAGCTAACATAGAAATATCTAGGCTACAAAATCCCACTCTTTTCTGGATGCTTGTACTCTGAAGGGTCACAGCTGTCAAGTTTCTGTTCAAGGCTGTGTTTCACAGGGACAGTTGTGTCTTATGCTGTCGTTTTAAGATCTCTTAGAAGATCCTATTGAAGGAATTTCCTATCATCTTTTTCTTCTGGTCAAATCCTGTTTATTGAAAACCTCTGCCTTTAGGAAGCAGTCACTAGCTGGAATACGAGACTCATCTAGCCGCATTTGGATTTAACAGATAACTACAGCATCCCTATCCCCACCATCACCTCCAGCTGTTGGTTACCATCAGATGTCTGAGTTTTTCAGCCCTATCTCTCATGACAGGACACAACGGTCTTTGACAGATGCTTCATTAGATCGCTGGAAACCACCTCCACAACAGGTCAAGCCTATCAGACAGACTTCTCCCTGAAGAAGTTGAAGAACATTTACGTGTTGTTTTCAGGGCCATATGAGCAGTATGCTCATATGAGAGCTTCAGCAACAAGGAGTTTGGAGATTGGTGCCATCTGGCAGTAGCGTAAACGTGCAGTGCCGTGACCGTTGTGTCAGGTTTGTGCCATCTAAAAGCTACCATATCCAGTGCAGTTTGCTGTGCTTTGTCAGTTGTTTTTTGTTTGTTCTTTTTAATGCCATATTTACAGTGCAGATTTGACATAGTAGACTAGAAAATTTGGCCTATACAACCAAAATGTTTCATCAATCAGCAATAGACCATTGATTCTGTGCTTAAGAAGCAGTGGCAATTTAACAGTTTACTTCTTCGCTACACAGCAGTTTATGACAGCATACGATACTGCTAAGAGATTTAGCTAGGCAGAGTAATTATCTGAACTAGAATTTTGTCAGGACACCAGTGCTTTGGAAATTGGATTGCTCACTGAAGTGTATAAGTGTAGATTTATCAGACTAACTTAAGGTGCTCATTTGCTTAAAGAAGCATAATTTTTTATACTTGTACTTAAAATAGAAAACCAGATGAAGTTATTTAGAAAATTTTAGTGTGTTTACTTATTGTTGCTCTCTGAAAATAGTTTTCTAGGAGAATACAAACAAATACTTAGGACAACTAAGAACATATTATAGCAGCCTATGACAAGTTCTGTTTATAGATAAAGATGGGGAAGAAGAAGGACTCCTGGTGTCTCTGTTCAGAGCCAGTGCCTGGGAAATACAAGCCCTACAATGTTAACGTCTCTACTACTGTGAGATAAATATTTTAACCTCTGTGTTTTTGTCTCACTGTGATTAAAATCTTCCAATTTTGCATTAGATAAAATAATTTTCTGTCACCGGCAGTTTGTCTTTCTGTTTTGTCATCCAATACCTGGGCTAAAAGTTTCACTTGTAATGTATCTTTTGGTTAGTGCTGCTGAAACTTCGTGTGGTTGTGTCCAAGAAGACAGGGTCAAACGGTGTGCTAGGGAGGTCTGAGACATTCCCACCCACAGGAGTTAACTCCAGCAGATATTGGCAACTGAAATCTCTTCTGCATAAATTAAGTTCACCCTTGCAAAATTTTGCTGGTCCCTGACAAAGCCTGCACAGATGCAGCAGTAGTTTGCCAGAGCTAGATAACTTGAGAAGAGACTGTAAATCATACCAAATCTTGTGCTTAACCACCATCCTTCAATGGTTCTCCAGTTCTGAATCATCTGACTTGCACAGAGTGTAATACATGGTTTAATGCAATAGTCGACTTTTTGAAATATATATATATATATTCTTTTATATAAGAGCAAAATGCCTAAGGTGTTCGCTCAGTGAAATGAAAGGGGAAAGCCCTTTCATTTTAAACATAGCAGCACACCTCCATCTCTTGATTATTTTTCTCCTTTTTATTTGCTTTTTTTGGGGAGCCTCCCCCACATTTCAGATTCTTTAATGTTTTTGATATCTCATTTGGCTACTGGGTAAATTAGTAAATTAATATATTGGATTGAATCACAGAAATTTTTAGATTGCTTTTTCTATAGAGGGATAGCTTCACATTAGCACAGAGAATGCATGTAAAAGACATGTTAATGCCATCCTACAAGCAATAAATTTCTATTTTTCTCAGACTCTGATAAATGACTACACTTTAAGTTGCATTTGTTATGGGTACAAAATGAATGACAGGCTTGAACGGATGTTGTTTTTTCAAAATTGCTCAATATAAACTAAAGTGACAGTCAAATTGCTGATCAAATTTTGCAATTATAACACTAGTGTAAAAATGTAAATTCAGAACTTTTATGACATTGAGTAACAAATTCTCCACTAAAGTTACTAAAGGGTCATTAAAGATACAACATACAAGGGCATAAAAAATACTTGGGATGACTGTAAAAGGTAGCAGAAAACTAAAAAAATTACATACAAAAGCCTCACAGCAAAATATTCCTGCAGTATATTTAACCTGCGTTTCACATCAGATTACATCTTTTTCAGCATAAGGGCATCCTTGACATAATTCCTCATAACGGTGAAGCAGCAGGAATTTCTCCAGCTACATGGAGACACTCCTAACAATGGTTAGATTTTATTTTGAGCTATATTACTCGAACTTTATAGCCTGAGAAGAGTGTGGGTTTTTCTCTCCATTCTTCCTAAAGTAGTCCATTTAAGAAATACAAGCTCAGTGAAAGTGCAGCCAAGAATATATATGTTAGCCTATGCTTTGCTAACATGAAAGTGAAGTTACATTCACCTCCACCAGCTGCCTCTACTGATGGAATTTAAAAGCAAAATTGAAAGCTACCATCTTCAGCAATGCAAATAGATATGCCATGTGAGCAGGAATGCAGAGGAGGACAGGAAGCTTCTGGGACTCCATCAGGGAAAAGCAACAAAGCTGCCGAGGGGTGGGAAATAAATTTGACTGGAAACATAGTCTACAACTTTCTGTGATCTTTCCTCATCTTCCCTTTCTTCTTGCTCTATGAGGAGAGGATGCACCTAGAGCAGTACAGATGGAGATGCTGAGATGTTGTTTAAACCATTTGTACGCAAAACATTGAGAGAAACCGCTTGACAGAGAATTGTTATTAATGTGAGACTTACTTTCTATAAAACTGAGGTGGTATCTCAACACAATACTACTCAGAAATTCCAAGTGCCGTAGTATGTGCAGTCATGATTAAGGTATTTTCTTTGAAACAACTTCAATATGAACATGTGAGAGATATTTTTCTTTAAATACTCTAGACTCAAAACAGATGTCTCCTTCAGAAGCAATGAAGAAAAATTGTATTTTATATTGGGAACAAGGAAATGGAGATGGGATCATGCTAAGCAGCAACCTGCTTCTGCATCTGGAATAGATGTGAATGACAAATGAACATGGGAGATCAAGGCCGGGACACACGTATTTACTGCCTGTGCACTTTGTAACGTCTTACAAGACATAGACCTTGGAAAAATTTGCCACTTGTGTTGTAATAATGTTGGTTCTTTGACATACGAGAGTAAAATCTTACTGATAAAGCTTAAAACTAAAATTCCATCAGAAGTGAAACTCTCATTCAATGAATTTTAAAGAAATTGTTAGTAGAAGAGATTCTTCAGAGCTTTCAGAGCTACTTATTAGTGCGGGCTATGAGTTTTTCCTTTTATTTGTATATGTACACATATACCTACGGACGTGTATGTTTGTTTATGGGCAGGAGGAGGTGAGGGGACCATCTTTGCTTCCTACAGGGAGAGGGAATTTATTTTCCCTAATGTAACATGCCAACAATCTTGCAAGGAACGGAACAATTTTGTGAGACACCATGTAAATACATGGAGAAGCATATGTTAATGGGTATGAATTCGGTACAATCTACAGTGTTTTTGGCATTTTCAAGGGTTTTTTTAATAAATTTGGATTTTTTTCTTTTTGTGTCTTGTCCCTCTTTAAGCACAGATTGTATGTGAGCTGACCTTAGTTTTCGAACAGTGATAACTTTCAACAATCTACTGAATGTTTTTTCCCTCTCTGCTTCAAAGTCCTGAAATACATAGGAAATAATGATGTTGGCTCATTTAATTTATGCCTTTGTTTCTTTCCAATCTTTCCTGTGAGTCATTTCTACTCTTTAGACAGTGGACTTCCATACAGATTTTTTAGGAGAACATACACAAGTTTGTTCAAAAACACTTGCCCAGTGCTGCCGTCCTTACAATACACTTTACTAACCTGCTGTTCTCCTGACATATGTGATCTAAAATAAACAACTGACCTTCTCTTCCATTTAGTAACCTCCTTTGTATTGCAGATTAATATCCACTTTACTGATCTGGTTGTTTGAAAGACTGGCTACTCTCTTTTAATGATAGCGGAGAGCGAGAAGCTGCCAGAATGCTAGGATGGAAGTGACACAAAGGAAACATGAAAGTCAGACAAATGTGTACCCAGGAGAATAATAAGGAAAATACATCCCATCAAATATATTTCTTTAACTTCTGAATCATGTTGCTATTGTGCCTTCTTTTTCATGTTGCTCTAATCTGCATGTCTGGCATATTTTGTTATCATATTATTATTTTTTTAAATGCATGCTAACTGCAACCTTGCTTCTCTGTTGTAATTTATTATAGCATATTAGTAAAGCTGCTTTAGAATACCCTGAATTAATGATGCATTTAAACTGTTTTAAAATGACCCTGGGCTAGGTCAATTATTGAAGTAATGCCAGTAAGGAATATTTTATTTTGATTGCGGTAAGCTCTTAGTTTTATGTTAACTGCATCATACAAACATGACCTGTGGGCTTTTTATGTTGTAGTGAATTGAAAAAGTGTGAATAAAGCATGCTTTATATTTTTATGTAGCAAACTCAGGCTGTTTCTTGAGAGGAGACTCTATAATTGTGTTTTCTTCTGTTGTGTATGGGGTCACCTTTTGTACAAGTGCTCTGAGAAAACAGAGTTGCCTTTTTGATATAAAAGGAAGACATAGTGAGGTGTGGGTGCTGCTTATGGCATGTTAGGTGTAGTGCAATCGTCCCTTCTGTATCCCAAGTTTACACAGACCCATGCTATTACTCCTGTACTCTCCCTTTCTCTGCAGCCTGAAGGTTGGAAGACCTGAGTAGTGCAGCATATTATTGTTATTTTTGGTGCAGGGTGGGAGAATTCTGTGATACCATTTATTTCTTAAAACTTCATTTGTAGAAGCAGTGCTTTTATATTTTTTTCTTGTAAAATTCACATCCTTAATTATTGCAATATTCGTTTCCTTTCTGGAAGTGTAAAGTGTTAACTTGCTCTGTTCTTCTTTAAAATTGAGCTGGAATGAGGGGTTATTATATATTTTTCAAAATGCAAGGATATGTTTTTACGCATCCCAAATATGTCTCTATGTTTTAATGTAATCTGCTTTTCTGTGCAAAACTGCGCTATAGTTGCTGTATTAGAGTCTAAGATTACAGGCAGCTCATACTGCAAATTTAAAAAGCAAACAAAAAGCAGCTCAGTATAACAAAATTTAGTAACACAGTCTTATGTCAGTAAAACTGGAATTTACCATTCTTCAATGACATTGGACTTAACAAGCTTGGCAGTGCTTTGGAAGCTTGAGTAACTTG